ATCATTTGGGTTTGAAATGTTGTGTGCTACTGCTTTCATGTGTGTGAATCCAGTCCTCCTCCAGATAAAACAGGCATGGAAAACAGTATAATTCCAGTAACTAATATCAGCTGTTGGGAGTGAGGCTGGTGAAACTTGGCCCACTCTTTCAATAGACAGGCCCCAAAACCAGAAGAAAAAAGTACTTTGAAGCTCCATATGTTTTTTCTCCAATAAGTTTGGGAAGCTTAAATATATTATGGTGAGAACTAGTTATATCCTGGTGAAATGGATGAGTAATAACTCCATCCTTGCAGATTGCAGAGGAAATTGTGGGTACTGCAGTATGTTGGTGCTGTCAGAGGCACTGAGAAACACTTGGATTTTCAAAAGCAATGTGGCTTTACCAAGGGTTGCAAAAGCCAAAATTAAAACATACAACTGCACAATGCAGTCATGTGCTGGAAATTAGAAATCTCTGGTTATCTGCATGCCTCATCTGGTCCCTGGAGCAAATTTATATGGCCCAGCAAAAACTTGGCTATATAATACAATCCAGCTCCTGAATTAAAAGCTTTCATATGGTCTGTCCTCTTATCTGCCAAGGAATTTCATAACCCTGATCCAATCACACAGAGGTGTAGTGCAGGTTGCCTTATAGTTATGACCTGCAGCTCCACTGATGACAATCTCTGTATTGCAGGACACTTCCTGGATCATTCTCTAACCTTGAACTTCCAATTCTTATCCTGTTTCATTCATTCCCATAGTCAATAAGGCACAGTGTTTGTGCAGCCCAAGCCTCAAGGATACCTGGGTTGTTATTGAGTGATCGTGTCTGACCTGCATTGTGGCTCTATGTTTTTGAGCTTCTGTGTATTCTCACATTATGACCTGTATTTACCACTGCACAGTGAGCTGCTTAATAATTGAAAGGGAGATGTTTCTTGCATGAAAAAAAAAAGGAGATGGGAGGTCAAGGTGTGTGTACCAATGCTCAGTGGGCACTGACAGTCCCCTTTGGCTGTCAACTTATGACACGCTGTTTTGCTGCCTGTAGAGAAAGAAGTGATCCTAACTCGATTTTCTGCAGTTACCCTACATCTCTGTGACTTTCAGACTGAACAGTGTGATTAGCTGAATCTGGAACCTTCTCTCCTGGATTCAGTTAAACCATCTCTGGTAGGTGTGATGTTCATGTCTGGCACATAAAGGCATCTCTGAAGATCAATCTTTGGGTTGTAGGTTGATGAAACAGGACATCTGTGCTTCCCACAGCCCTAATCCTGGCTTGTGTTGTGCAGGCACAGAACTAAATTCATGTCCAGATTTGTGTTCAGTGCAGTAGATCTCTGCATTGTTCATAAATTCAAAAAGGTTGTTTATTTAATGATTTCTATACAGGAACTCAGAGAGAAAAGCCCAGACTATGAGGGGAGCCTCTAGACTATGTCAGAATATAACATCTAACGGTAAAGAAACCATAGACTTAGTCACCTGCATCTTTTATTGACGTGGTGCTTTGTAGATTTCCAAATGTTAAACATATATAGAACACAAGAACTTCAGTTGTAGAATTAAAAACGCAAGACACTAATTGCAGATTAACGTTTATCTATACGGGAATTCTGTCTTTCCCAGGTCTGGCTCATGTTATATGGACTGGAAGTACAGGATTAACCCTTTCCCCCACTGCTCCAAACCAGCCAGGCCAGTGGCTGCTCTGACAGTACCATTACAGGGGTAGAGGATCAATTATGCAAAATGATTTGAAAGAGACTCCATGCATGTTTTCTGCTCTGTGTGTGTGTTCCCTGGGATGACATTTCAGCTTTCATGCTTAACAGGAGAGCATTTTCTCTGTGTGCAGACAGCTGTGACCTGGTAAAGGACTCTGGGCATGAACAGGGCCCATCATTAATTAATATGGATGGTCATCTCCAAATTGATTATTGTAAAATCAGGATGGTATAAAAAGGCCCAAAGGAAAAATCAACATATGCTGCTGCATTGAAAATTATTAATGCTAACTGTATATCACCAGTAACTGTCTGTGTTCAGCTTACAATGCTTTCAGCTAAAAATCAATTCCAAGGCCTTTCATGAATCAAGTAGTCTTTATTGGCATGAATAATTAGACTATAAAGTAAATTATTTCAGGATGGATTCTCTGGAATAGCAAAAAGCAGAAACACATCTTTACCCTTGTGAGGTTTAGTATAAGAAGAAATGACAGTCACAGTACATTTTCATACAGAGGCTGTGTGTACTGAACATGCTTAAAATTAATTTTCTTATGGAAAACAGGTGCTGCAGGAAAGGTTTTGCTGCAACCACCCCCCCATGCCAAAAAAAAAAAGGGAAAAAGGGATGGACCTGTTACAAAAGTCATCTCAGGCTACAGCACAGAGCAATATTGCAAAAGTCCCTGTTTGTTTTCTTCCAGGTTCTCATGGCAGGTTTGCCAAGATGTGACCACAGTGAATGGCCAGAGGCTGCGTTGGGTTTTTTCCATCTCCTTGGCGAGATGGTTACCAAAGATTCCCCTGGACTATTTTAAAAAACACAAAGAGCAGAAAGCCCACGCTGTTGGATGCCATCTGCTCCCCCTCTGCAGCCGTTTATTCCGCTCCCTGCCCAGCCCTGGGCAGATGGTGTCCATCCCCTCCCAGCCCTCCCGAGGGACAGGGGACCTCACTCCCGCCTCTGTGCGGGGAATGAGGGATGGAGGTGCTGCAGGCAGGGGCGACCTG